ACTGCCTTGAGGGCACGAGTGGACTATTTGAATGCCAGGGTGGACACAGAAGTTGCGTCTAGAACTCCAGTGATCAGAGCTGCGCCGCAAAGTGTTTCATCTGAAGGGTTGTCTGGAGTATCCATTACAGGTTTTGGTGAGAGACCGGAGTTCCCTCGTTCGAGTTTTCCGTCTTCACCACCGATGTCACGATCACCAGGTTTGTCAGCAGCGGCTGGCGTGAGTGTTCCTCCACCACCACCCGCGCCGATCCACAGAGTTGCCACAGGGACTGCGCCAGAAGTACCCTCAACATCTACACCAACTCCCGCGGCGGAGCGCGCCGAGAGCAAGTCGGATGAGAAGGACATCTTCAGCAGAGCTGACAAGTGGCTCCCTGCAATGCCCACTCCGGATTTCAAGAAATGGAGTGTGAACAGGCAGGAGGAGATCTTGTGTTTTTCTGAATATGTCTTGCAGTTGCGCTCGTGGGTAGCGTTGGGTAGAATCTACTTCCGTGGCAGGGGGTGGTTTCACCATGGGGGTGTTTTCAGCACAGCTTCCTTGTCCCATGGCTTTACAATGGTGGTGTTTTCAGCACTGACTGACTGTAAACTGTAAAGCCTTGCTGCGCTACCACTTGAAGTGGTCTTCTCTGAGGCAAAAGGAAATTTAAAATTTTAGATGTGTAATCTGTCTTAGGAAGTTTATGACATCCACCAAATACATGTGCAATAGTAATACATATTAAGCAAGACTAAGACATGAATGCGTGCGTGTGTGCGTGTTTGTGCCTATAGACATATAGACATACATTCCTACAAACATACATACAGGTAGTTACATACTACACACATGCATACATTGACATGCATACATGCATACCTACATACATACAAACTACACCATGTCATACCATACATGTTCAGGCATACCACGCACACGTGTTGCATACATAGAGACCGCATACTTTCACACATTTGCGGAGAAACAGTCTCAAGTTTTTCCTGCGTTTGTCATTGTTTCCCGAAGTTTTGCTTCTTTTTGACAGTGCTTCCTTTCATTTGTTTTCCAAACGGCAGTTTTTCAGAGATGCAACCCTTGCATGTGGCCCGGAGATCCAGAAGTTGTTGTTTTTCATCCATTTGTGCAATGAGGTGTCTTTTTTTATGTTGATGGTATGTAAAACAACACCGACCCATCAATAGTGTCCGTGAACTCAATGCCATTCTTTGCTCGATGTAATGGCGAAACTGTGATGCCAGGCTCAGGTTCAGATTGTGTGTAATTGGTGACTCTACAGGGTGTTGGCTGTTATCAGCTATGGCCTCCCTGCTCAGCACGCTACACCTGCTGAGACGAGCGGCTTTTGTCCTGCAGAGACTTGTATATCTACACAGACTAAATAGAGTTGCAATGGCCTCCAACCTACTAGCGATGGCTTCCACCTACTAGCAACGGCCTCCAACCTAATAGCCATGATGGCCTCCAACCTACTAGCGATGGCCTCCAACCTACCAGCGATGGCCTCCAACCTGAGAGCGATGGCCTCCAATCTAAGAGTGATGAACTTAAAGAAACTTAGTATCAGTGAATTCAACTGCCCAAGAAACGTGATGTTCTCATGGTGCCATGCCATGCCGTGGCAAGACCATGTGTGGAAGACTGTGGGCTGCCAAGTTTTTTTCCAGATGTTGCTCTCGTGCAATGTGTTCGTGTTGTTTTCGCATGTGGTGGGGATGGGCGGCAAAATTCAATCCACGAGGTCGACGCCAGGTGTGACGATGTTCATGACATTGAGCCGGGATTTTGCCAGGTCACTATCTTAGATTTTTTCAGTCAAGTGGATTATTGAATAGAACGCACAGGTCTTTGTTTGTTAATTCCTATGGTGCGTGAAGCTGGAAGGAGCGGAGTGGGCCTTCTGGAAGAGTTTGGACACGTTCTCAGGCAGACCAAACCCTAGGTCTGTGCAAGGGGAGGACATACCGTGGTGTTTCTTTGTGTAGGTGGTGTTGGTCAGTCAGATCCTTCAAGCTTTTGATCGGTGCCAGCCTCAAATCTTAACCAACTTGTTTTTGTGTTCAGTGACCAGTGAACTTGCAGCAGTGGCCGTCCTGTCTTTTTCAGGAAACCATCCGAGTTCGCGTGAGGCTGACGTGCTTGATGTTAAGTGATTCTTTGAGCTATATAATAGTAGAAGTTGGAGTTTGCTCATTCAATTCTTTTTGACTTCAATTGGATGTTTGACTTGAAGTTGCAAACTTTTAGCTTCACTGGGCCCATGAAGCGGCCTTCAGCGGCCAAGCGCCCATCGGTGCGAACGAGCAAGCGGCCTGCTACGCAGAGGAGACCTGTAGTTTTTTGTCGCGTGCTTCTTTTTTTTGATGGGTGCAGCGTCCACATTCACTTCAGGGTCTGAGGTTGTTGAACGCCAAGTTCTTTTCCACTTTCTTTGATGGAGACATGATTAGCTTAGCAGATTTGCTCAGAAATTTTGATCACCGCAGCTTTTGTGTGGCCGATGGTCGCAAATCGCACGACGTAGCATGGTGCCAGATTATATGACCGAAAAAGACAAGTCTCAATACATAGCGCGCCTCGCACTGCCATCATACCGCCAGGGAATCATGACTAGGATGAACTACAGCTCCTCCTTCAACTTGTATTTTTGGTTCATGTTTGATGTTATTCGCTTCAGATGATGAACAGCCTGTGGCTGATGGTCCGCAAAGGCCCAAACGGCTGGGGCTGAGCTTTCTAGAGTCGCCTTGCACTTGCCAGCGGCGAGTGTGTTTCCAGCAGTTTCGTGGCCACCAGGAAGCTGTGGAAACCAAGCGAAAAGAGTTTGAAGCTTTGCAGCCTCATGAAAAGGCAGGGGCTGTGAAAGCCACGTTAATGTTACATGTGTTGCAAAGGGCTGAGTAGGATTGGATGTCGTTGGTTCGTTCCCTCCAGTTGTCAAGTTTGCTGTTTAAAGCCTATAGCCTATAGTTGCATGTCGCTGCGCTCAAACTTTCAGGATGAATTCTTGCGATCAACTTTGCTGAGTCCAAACAATACCCGGCGGAAGTCATTCAGTGTGACGGATGCAATAGCTCTCGAGCCAGACTTTGAGGCAACAGATTCCGACCTTGAAGCTTCAGACCCAGATGTTTTGTCTGAGTCGGGCGATGATTTCTTTCATGCGTCTGATGGAGAGCAGGTGCCGCAGTCTGCAAAGCGAGATTATGCAACACGCCGTGCAGAAGATCTGATGTTTCTGGGAAGGCCTGTTTGTTTGAAGGCTGGTTGCAGGCTTATTGGCATTGGCCAGAAAGTTTTGCAGCGATTGCGTTCGGGCCAATGTGGATACAAGGGTCAACGGGCGCCTGCGCCCAAGCACCCCACATTTGGTTTCAGCCTTCGTGGGAGTGCTTCTGAGAAGTGGCCGTCTGTGCTCATGTTTCTGTGGCTCATCTACCACAGCTCAGCTGAACACATGCCAGATTCTAGTCACTCCCTCCGCAAACCCAGTGTGAAGAATCTTGCAGAGTCTGAGACGCCCTTTGGAGAAGGGGTCGCTTGTGATGATGACGAAGTTGACCGGCGCATCAACGGCTTCATGACCAGTTTGCACCGGTACCGGTCAGATGTTGACGTTCACTTAATTGGCCCTGGCACATTCAAGGGAGAACGCAGAGAGCTTCCGTAGCCTGGTTTGATTGTTGCAGCTGCATGCTTTTTGTTGAGTATGTAGGCAATGCACTAAATTTGGTTTCTTTTCTAGTTATTCTTATTGGACCCTGCTGGTATGAAGCTATGGGCTCCGTTTGTCATTGCCTCAAGATCATTCTCTAGCTTGGTGGTCCTCAGTCAAGATGAGGAACAGTTCCCGCACCGAGCTCTACTTTGAGTATGTGGCGCATTGCTCAACTACTTCTGAAGTTCCAGCCTCATTCAACACCTTTTTGCGGGTGGTGAACAGAGTCATGGGACCCCATGTCCGCGACGGACATCTGCACTTCAGAAAGGATTCCGAGCACGCCAAGTGTGACACATGTGTCAGACTGAAAAAGCTCCTCAGACCAAATCGCCAGGGAGCGGCCTTGAACGACGCAGCCTCTCAATCATACAGTCGACACCTTCTGTCACAATGGCTTGACCGACAAGCCTATTGGTCTTACCGTTCCCTGAGTCAAACCTGGTTTCGCAAAATGGCAATAGGCGAAAGGAGCTTTGGCCAAATGATTAATATGCATGTTCAATGTTTTTGACAATTCCTGCGTAGGGCGCTGAAACGTATTGGAAACACATGCTCATGTAAACAGCTGTTTGTGTGTGTGTGTGCCGAGGATTGCCCAGCAATCTGTTGGAACATCGGCGCTTTGCCTGATCCAAGACGGGATGGATCAGGCAAAATTCAAAGTTCCGAGATTGCGGCAGCAGCTGTCTAAACAGTACAGCACTCTGTTTCGCCCGAGACTCCACGTCTCGGCGACTTGGCTGCATGGCAAACGGATTCTGTTCGCAATAGCAGATGAAGACCAGCGAAAAGATTCTGGAGCCCAGATTGAGCAACTTGCAAGAGGATTGGAGAGCGTTTCCCAAGAATACAACATGCTGCCCTACGGCTTGATGGTGCAACAAGATAACACCTATAGGGAGGGCAAGAACCGCCACTACTTGGCGTTTCATGTCCTCCTCGTAAGTTTGAAGGTCCTCAGATGGAGTGTGTGCTCCTACCTACGGGTAGGACACAGTACCTTGTCACATGAATCCACATTTTGCTTTCAAACCCTCGGACCTTGAGTTGTTTGCAAGCTGAACGTGGCTCACCATGTTGCACTGATTCCATGGGATTTTGGTTGCTTCTCAGGCCACGAGGACATTGACCAAGTGTTCAGTGTCCAAGCTCAACTGATTTCCCGGCACGAGTTCAACAACCCAGAGGAGTTGATGCAGATCATGGACACGTCTGGCAGACCTCGCAGTGATGCTGAGGCAATGCGGAAGGCACGAAAGTTGGATGTAGCCAAAGTTGCATGTGAAACCTACAAGTTGGACGAGGTAGCCTTGTGGAAAGACTGGGTGTCCAAGCTTGGAATCCGGCTCAAAGGGCTTCGTACCTTATTCATCGGACGGGACCTGTTTTGTATTTTTGTTTAGTGGGCAGGATTCCTTGAACAACGGTGGACGAGTCTTGAACAACCGTGGAAGAGGATTTCTTTTGGTTGTTGCTTGACAAGTAAATAGTTTCCAACATCCAACAATTTGGTTGAGCTCATTCCAAATAGCCACACAGCTTGCAGCTCGCTCAGGTAAAGTTGGGCAGATCCGGATCAGCTTACGCAAAGACATTGATGCATCTTCTTATGGCCACTGCGAGGTGAAGGAGATTCCAGGAACTGTGAAAGACGAGGATGATGTGATTGTGATAGCGAAGCAGCACATGCTGATGCTGAGCCATACCACATCGAGACATTAGTAACCGCTGAGAGAGCAGCTACCCTTCGCCGAAGCTTTGTGCAGCCGCAAGGTGTTGCCCCACGGAGGGCCATACATGAAAAGGTGAGGAAGAATGTGCAAAGCAAAGTTCCGCAGTTGATGACTAGCAAAATGTTGCCCACAGATGCCGGGGCATACCTGCTGAATTGGGTGGAAGGAACGTTGCAGAAAGCACCGCGCCCTCGGCGGTACACTTTCTTAGAGTACCGCCATGATGGTGTTCATCGTGAGTATCTTGGGGTGCTTGAAGATTGGGCCCGGCCGCGCAGGGAGAGACAGATCGATTTGAAACCGCCACATGCTGCTGATGAGCTTCCGGAGGAAGACTCTGACCAGGGTGACAATCAGCATATGGCTGTTGGAGATGATTTTTAGTTGTGACCACTGCCAGCTCGAAGCAATGCTTCGAGGGAAAAAAGGGTTTCCACATATCTCGAACCTATGATATTTAGGTTCTGTTAAGTTTCAGATACGTTTGCTTGATCCGTCCGTTTCCAGGAGCAATGATGCTGTTGCCGCGCGTCAGGATGACGACATGCTCTATGAGAGTGGCGATGAACATGAGCCACAGCCAATTGGTTGCATGTAAACACATCAGCTAGAACGAACACAGTTTTTGATTTGCCAGGCGCTCTGCTGGATCGGGCTTGGACTGTGGTAGAGATGACGAGCCTGAGTCATTTCAAGCTTCGGACGAAGAGTCAGCAGCCAATCGTCCTCAGGATTCCCCCAACCAATTCTTGACTCGCGCTGGTGTTGGGGCGCTGGCCTCTGTCAGTTTGAATTGCAATTGATATCATTTGAGTTAGACGCGTGCCATTTGAGTTGAAGCTATCTTCAAGCAATCAAACGAGTTCAAACCCTGTAAAAATTAAAGTTTGGGTTGTGAATTTCAACTTTTTGAGGTTTCCTCGTGGGTGGAGTGGGCCTTTACCGAGCACGCAGATTCCAAGCTCATGGAGAGCTTCCAAGCGACTCTGACGTCATGCGCCAAGAAACCTGAGTTTATGTCTGGCATCCCCATAGGCTCAATTTGTTCTGGGTGGGGTGTTGCGGAGATGGTGATGGAGGCTGTCAACTGCAAACTGACAGAGAAGCATCCAAGTCTTCCCAAGGTAAGACTTGTTGAAAACCATTTGTTGAGTGTCAATAATCAATAGCTTACAGAATCAGAATAGAAGAAACCTCGGGCTTGCAATCCCTGCCAGTTCGACTTGAAGTTCATGTGCGAGAGCGAGCCTTACAAGGCCGACTATCTAGGCCAGGCATTTAGCGGCGCCGGGCCTATTTTCTCAGACATGCACTGCTTGGGGCGAAAGTCTGCGCACGATTACAAGACAGGAGGAATGGTTGCAATCCCACCGGTGTCTAGGATTGAAAAGGGGACTTGCTGTAGATGTGGAGTCTCAGTGGTCGTTCTTTGTCATTGTTGTTACGTTCACAGATCTGGGAAAATTTGTTCAGCATGTGTGGTTGGCGCAATGTGTTTAATGAAACTAAACATGGAAAATGTTTGTGTAGGGGATGTGATAAAACTACCATGTTATGTTTGCTTCAGGATCAAAGAGTTGAAGCTTTTTCATGATGACACCAACGGAAGTGTTTAGACATGAAGTCATGAGCTGATCACATTTTTTGGACATGTGGTTTTTCAGATACAATCACCGACTGCTCAGGTTGTGGGTGTTTGCGTTGGATACCCATGTCGCTCGCTCAGCTCTCAGAACAACAGGCCCCAGTCGTTCAAGGACAAGTCTTCGACCACGGGTGGAGGTTACCACAGTTTCATCAAATACGTGGACAATTCCCCAGAACTACAGTTTGCACTTCTCGAAAATGTGAAGGGGATGATGCACACTAGAGCGCAGTTCAAAGGGGAGCAGCCGCTCCTTGTTCAAAACAAGGCAATGGAAAAAAGGGGTTTCAAACCATGCTTCAGTTTTCTTCTTAACTCTGCGAACTTTGGTTTGAACCAGAGCCGCTGCCGGTGCTACGTGCTCTACGTCCGAGAGACGAACCTCAAGCCATGCCCTTAAGATTTTTGTTTGGTTGACTCAAATGCGCAAAGACGTCATTCGATGTGCAAAGACTGTCAGCGACCTCCTCTCCACAAATCTTTGGGTGGTTTTGGGCTTGGGTTTGGCCTTGGCGTGGGCTGATTTTCCCCCCACAAACTCAGTCAATCTAGGTTTCTTTTGAGGAGAGGAGGTCAGTGACCTTCTCTCCTTAGCTCTATTTAAGCTAATGGCAACTTTTTTAAAAAATTTTTAATATATATGAAATTGATTTTTTTTAAAAAATGTGGCCATTAGCTTAAATAGAGCTAAGGAGAGAAGGTCACTGACCTCCTCTCCTCAAAGGGCTGGGTTTTGGGAAACGTTTGTGGAGATAAAATGAGCCCACGGGACATGATATCCACGCAGCTTTAAAGCACATTCCATTTGGTATGATGCAGGGCGCCTTGGGGTGGTTGGGGTTTGTGGAGAGGAGGTCGCTGACCTCCTCGCCACAAAGTGCCTTGTGCTTGAATTTTCTCGCCACAAAAGTGGAAGCTTGGAAAGTCATGCTTGTTTGACTTCTGTGGCATTGCGCTTCAGGCTATGCTTCAGGTGTGTGTGTGTGTGTGAGTTTGTGCTTTTGGGGCATTTGTTCCAATAGAGGTCAAGAGGACACAACAATGATACCCACGGCAAGGATTCTTACCGGGGGTGTCATTTTCGTGTCCTCTTGACCCCTCTTGGTTTGAGGGGTGTTGTAATAGTGGACTTTGTTTCTGAGGGATCATTTGGGGGGGTGTTGGAACAGCCTGTTTGGTAGGCTTGTACTTCAACCACTCCGAGAAAACTCCTTTGAGAATGTGTTTTATGACAGTGGTTGTGGATGCGACGTATGGCTGTATACGCTTCAATTTGACCACATCAAAGTGGCTTGCAAGAAAAAGGGACGACCCAAAATGGGGCTGGTGTTGCTTTGTATGTGCTGCCATTGCCAAATCTAAGTTGGAAATGTCAAATGTTGATCAGTGTTTGGAATTTTATAGTAGCGCGTCAATTGACAAACTGTGAAAGATTCTAGGGCTAAGAGCATGTTTGATTTGAGCATGATAGTTTAAGCATCTAGGGCAGTGTACAAACGGCAACAGAGTCTTGTGAAAAGCAAGCTTGATGTTTGTGATATGATGTTGGTTGCTGACAGTAGTTTTGTGTGATCTCACAACGCGTCAGGGCGAGATTGTGGTGGCACGTTTTCCATCGTGGCCGCCAGAAGATTTGCCGGAGCGCGATGGAACCCGCTCTTTGGAAGGGTTGCTTTTGTTTGGTGATGGTAGCCAAAAGATGCTGGCAGCTGCAACAGCATGGATTAGCTTGTTGCTCATGTGGAGGCACCTTCCTCAGGATAGCCTCAAAACACCTACCATGCAAACCATGATCGGATCCTTCTTGCAAATCAGCACCATGGTGAAGGCAGCTGATGCTTTGTCATCGGGATTGGAGGCCATGGTGAGCCGCATTGCCAGCCAGAATGTGGCGTCGAGGGTGCAACCCATTACAACGTTCCAGTTTGCAGCCATCCTCAAAGCGTTTGTGGGGCCCGGATCGTGTACTTCGTTTGATGACTGTCTCCAGGCGTACAACGGGCATCCCACTGTGCTGTCACATGATCGGGGGGAGAGTGGCTCCGGATCCATAGCCCTCGACTCTCGGAAGAAGCAGGGTGTGAAGAACTGGTTGGAGCGAACTAGCGCAGAGAGTTTTGACGTGGTCCAGAAGTCATGTCATGACGTGCCTTTCTTGCTTGGTCCCTACGGCGAGTCATTCTCGTTCACCGCGATGTGCTTCCTGCAGTCGAAGGCCCATTTGGAATCCAACCCGGCTACAGGCGAGATCGATGCCCCATTGCCTGGAGAGCCGTTTGTTGAAGCAACTCGATGTTTATTATTTCTAGTATTTCGGGCGCGCCACCACAGCAATCGAGGTTTTACTAAGCCATATAATTGAAGCTTGCTTGGGCTATTATAAATTATGGAAGTTGTGAGACCAAGTTTGGGGATTTGTGATATTCAAGGTCGGGACATAAAAACATGTGGGGAATCATCTGTAGCTTGCTTTGTCCAAGTGCGATTGATAACCAAGGTGGATTGGGCGCTCCCCATGACTCCTCCGGCGCAATGCGTGTTTTTCCAGAAAGTTTGGAAATCGTTCACCCGAGCGTCTACTGGGGTCCCTCTTCTCAACAAGAAGCGCTACAGGATGACACCTGAGGAGCTCATGGTGCATCGGAATTTGTCTGTCTTGTTCAGCCAAACCTTCTCACACCTGAACCTTTTCCTGTGTAACAACTTTTTGAAGACGCCGAATGTGGATGTGGTTTTGTGGGTGATAAACGCACAAGTTTTCAAAGTGTTTTGTGATCAGAGTTGGCATTGCAAGGAAGACGCGAATGACCCCGTCCGATGCTGTGGCCATGGAGAAGGATTTCTTGAATGGCTCCCACAGTGATTTCCTTCACTTTCTTGAGTCAAGGCCTCCGCGCATCGCGATGTCCATGCTTCCAAGCATGAAATCCAAAGCGCAGCAGGAAGATCAAGACCCTTTGTTGTTTTCCTGAAGTCAATGTTTCTAGTTAGTCTACTGTATTAATTTTTGAACTGCTGGAACCATGGGGTTATTGACCTTTTTAACATAGCTCTTCCCATCCCACGTCAGCGATGGTAAGGAAAAGCAGTGCTTGATCCACCACGAAGTTGAGGTCCAGCGCCAAGCCGTGACGATGGCGCAGTGGAAATTCTTCGAGACTGCCTTGAAGAAGGACCAATCAGCTTTATCCAAGATCCAGCTAGTGCCTCTTCAGCTGAAGGCGAAGTTGCACTCCAAGGCCGTGAGTCAGAGGGCTCAGCAAGCAGACGGAGGTCTCAAAGCTACGCAAGGCTATGCAGACTTTTGGATTTTGTAGAGTCCTTTTTTCCCATTTTCCTATGTTTGAGGAAGCGCCGACATTTGACCAATCCCTAAACCTAGGGACATAGCGCTTTGTGGTGGTTGAACTCTTAGCCCGACAAGTCAGGAAGCCTACGTGAAGGTGACTTCGGTGTCCAAGATTGATCTTCTCATGTCCGAGGTTGCAAAGATGAAAACTCAGGTTGTTTCCAAGCCTGTGTAGCCATATTTTCTATTCTGTGCCGGGCTGTCGGGGAAAGATGTTTTGTCTTTACCATGGCTTGGTTCTCTTGTCGTGTCCTTTGTTTTTGACGGGACACATGAGGCTGCTGATTCGAAATGCACATTGGATGAAGTGGCCATTTTGGGGTGGTGCGACTTCAACACCCCTTGGTCCAGGACGAAGGACAATGCTCAGGCTTTGTGCCGCGGCATTGCGGCGTTGAACGAGGCAAGCCCCAAGATGTCAGCCTCGGTGCTGATCCTGCCAGACTTGGCACGTGATAGCAATCCTCGTGGATTGTGGGACGAGGAGAGGCAAATCTTCGAGGAGTTGTTCTCCTTGTCGCAGGCCTGCGAGGCCCGCTTCGTCGAATGCTTCACAAGAGAATCCAAGAAAGCGGAGGTCAAGTCGAACTCCAGACGGTTCGGCATGGGGCGTTTGGTGACGAGCAGCAGCATGATGGACGAGAACAAGTGGTTGAACAGCGAGCTTGCTGTCTACGGCCGCGTCTGCGGGGTGAACGAGATGGCAGAGGGAGTGCCATTTGCTGTCTTGCCAAAGACGGCTTCGCTTCTCATCCCAGAATCATCTTCGCCTGACACTGGACTCCTTTTCATCAAATCTTTGTCATGAGTTTCAAACGTTTTAAAGATGGTTTGAAATTCATTTTTGTTGGTGTGGCTGCAATTGTTCAACATCTATGCAATTGCCGGGTGTAGGGGTTGGGAACTAAGGACCATGTTCGCATAGCGGACAGGCTTCGCCCATCAAATGAGCAAGTCTGTGCACAGAAAGGGTTCAAACGACTGGAAATGTTGATGACCTCTGCCATGAAGTACACTGGCTTTATGGTCCGATCCTTTTGGTGAATCTCACTGGCTATGTTGAGGATCTTGCCATTGCAGTACCTTGGGTTTGAAGATTCAATAACATGTTATCATATTTTATCTTTTGAAGGGCCAGGGCGGGTCGCGGCACTGTCCAATGAAAACTCTGTATGTGGATGTTGGTGGAGCGTTACTGCTCATTGACATGAAAGCGCAGGCTGCCAGCATGCGGATGAAGAAGACCCTGACCGTGGACTCTTGCACCCTCAACCTTGAACGGTTGTACTACCTCTCGGTCCACACACTGGACAACAAGGAGAACGTGAAGTACGCGAAGAGCAGAGTGATGAGAGAGCTCTTGGATATGTGGCTGGATAAGCGATTCAGCTTTGCTGGCTTGTCCTTCAACGACCAAGCTGTGGCCCTGACAGATGAGGAGTTGTTTTTCGACTAAAATCATGGTGTTGATGATAGACCCAACCTGGTTTTCATTTTTGCGATTCAGTTTCTTGGTCGCCAGAAGTTTGTGCCCCAGAGGAGAAAAGCTCCGTTGATCACCATCAGTATCTGGAAAACCCAGACAGCTTGGAGTTGCAGGTGCTTGTGAAGGTCGGGAGTGAGTTCCGGGTGCACCCGGATCAAGTCCGGCAGTGGGAGAATGCCGGCGGAGACATCTCTTCGCAGTTCTTCGCCGCATGTTGTGTTTTATGGTTTAGACCGCTGGATACCTAGGCTTTTTGACCAAAATTGTGCTATTTTTCAATTAGAAGTTTTGTATTAGGTATCCTAGCTGATTGTCAGGTTTGCTTCTTTGAAGAAGGAGCACGAGGAGAAGTACCAGGGAATCTTGAAGGACATCGTGGCGTCAACCGCCGTGGTCGATGCAGATTCTGCCACTCCCAACGCTGAGACTGCGGCTGAGCCTTCAGGCCCGGAAGAGCTCAAGCGTTTTGAGAGTTTGGAAGCGCTTGAGGCGCATGATGGGCCCTTTGCTTTGAAGTGCTCCTCAGAGACTCCCGGCATTGACATCATCAAGGGCAAAAGTGGCGCGATCTACTTGATGGCCACGGACAAGCGGAAGATCTTGCCCAAGTTCACGTTGATTGGTGGGTTTGGCACCGGCAAGTGTTCAGACTGCATTCAAGAAACATGCATGATGTTGTTTTTATTGATTTCAGTTCAATAATCATGGGATGGATTTTGTTCAGCCCTTGCTTGATGCCCGTTGTTTGTCTTCAAGTGGTCGAAGGTATCAGCCAGTGGTAGCAGAAGAATCCTGCGATGCGAAGCAGAACGTGATGTTTGACTGGAGTCAGGGGGACCGAACAGCGATTCAGGTGGATATGTCCAGCTTGAACCCAGAGTCCTCTGCCTTTGAAGTAATGTCCCTGTACAAGTACTTGATCACTCTTGAAAAAAGCAAGAAGGTGACTCAATATGAGCTGTCGTATTGTGAGATCCAGCGCCAAGTGGATGCATCTGGAGACACTTTCAAAGTGCAGCCCAAAAACATGCATTCGTACCGCACCATGCCGGAAACTCGCGAATGCTTCAACAGGTTTTCAGACACATTGTGATTGTGAGTAGCTTTATTCAGCCATTTGCTTCCAAACGATAGCATTTTTCTTCACAAGTTTTGATGTGCTCAAACGTTCCAGCCCACACATTTCAGGACACTAGCAAGCCCTTGACTTGCAAGAGTGCTTTCTACGATTCGGCAACGCGCATTGCCGATTCGAAGGCTTTGCTCTGCATCTTTCGCTATCGCTGCTCAAACTGAATCCAAAAAGCTTTGGGTGGTTCATGTTTGTGCTGCGCACCTTTTGATGTTTCGATGGGATTGATTGCAAGCTTTGTTCTTGACACCCTAGGTTACGACAGGGTCCACGCCGTGACCAAATGCCAAAAGCCGTACGTCATGACGCAGGTCGCTTGCACCTTTGAGCCAGGCAAGCCAGTGGCTATGTAGGTAAGGCCAAGACAGGGGTTGGTTTGCTTGAAGGTTTATGTTGGCAGCATTGTTCAGTGAATACATTGCTTTCGCTGTTTGCTTGATACAAATGGAACCAGTAGCCCCTCCAGTTCGCCTTGATTGATTTTGTGATCCCAGTGATGTCAGCCAGCAAGCCACTGTTTTGGCTGATTACCGCGACCACTTGCAAAGGATGCTGAGGTCTTGCGAATCTTACTGGGCAAGAGCCGAATATGAGCGCAAGGGTTTGAAATAGGTGCAGTTGACCTGACCGTTTCCTCGAACCTTTGAGGAAACTGGGTTTCCTGATGTTTTGTTTGTTCCCATTGCATGTTGCTTGCAGTGCAGTGCACGGAGTGTGCAGCTTCGCGCGTTCGCCGCTTGTTTGTTCAGCCTGGCCCATTGTGTGCACTATTCGGTGTACGAGGAAAGACTTTGTCAGTGTCAGGGTGGCCATGGATTCTTTCAAATCGGATGTGCACCGAGAAGCTTCTCGGCTCATGAACCAGGACAGTGATGGCAATGATGAGACACCGCCTGCGAAACCAAAACCTGCAGAGTTAGTGAGTCAAAGGCCGCCTGAAAAATGTGCCACCGCAGTTTCAGAAACAGAAGCAGCTTTGCTCCGAGCCCCAACTCGTACTTTGGGCGATGAGAGTCCTGAGCCTGAGTCAGTTGATGCAGCAGCTGGAGTTCCTTGTGCAGGGAACAGTCAGAGTGAGCCTTTGCCAAGTGCGGAGAAAGCTGTGACTGTCGATTCGCCTGAGCCAGCGCCGCTCAGCACTGAAGTTTCCCAGGAAAACGCAAAGCGTGTTGCGATGGAACCCCAGGACACGTTTCAGGCGACTGAGTCCGAGCATGAGGAACAGGCTGAGCTTCCAGTATCCAAAAAGCCTGCTATGTCTATTACTATGTCAAAGAATTTACCTCGGAAAAGGCCTGCTTGTCATTCAGATTCTGAAGCTCCCTCGGACGCCCAGAAACGGCCGTCAGCTTTGCGGAAGCCGGCTGCTGACCCTTCAGTGAGCCCAGCAGCAAAGTCTGGTCCAGAGGACCCAGCACAGGATAGTGGACTGACAGCTCCAATGAAAAAGCCTGCCGCCAGCAAGGCGAAAAGGCTTCAGTTTGACACCAATGACTGGGTTTGGGAGGATGTGGAACCTGGGCCAGATGGCCTACCCCGTCGGGTTGGCACCAATGGTGATTGGAAGGCGGGCTCAGAACCAGACGAGCAAGCTATGAATGAAACATGTTGTTTGTTTTGAGCTATTATAATAGAAACGCTAGATGTGCGCAAACTCCGCAGGTGCGGGAATTCATTCGTGGCACCGGCACCACCTTGGAGGGCCAACCTTGGCGCCTTTTTGATCATGGCAGCAAGACGTACAAATCCTATTCCGCTGCGATCAATGCTGGCTTCCGGCCAGATGTTGACTAGTGAGTGAGAGTCTTTTGATGAAGCATGTTTGCTCCTTCGCCTGTGGTTTGAAAACCTGCCGCTCATGCTCAATTCTCCTCAGTTCACCACGCATGCCATGTGTTTTGTAGAAAGCGGTCCATGCCTACCTGGCCAGGCGTCCGGCGCCGCAGCTTTTTGTGACAAGGCAGGGGTCTGAAAGGAATCAGGCATAAAGTTGGTGCACATACCCGTAGGGGATGAAACAGTCCTTTAAAGTTTCACA